TTGAAACTTCAATTTTGATGACCTACAGAATTTTGTTTGCTTAAATAAACAAGTAAAAAATCATACTTTGCACTTACCAGGCATTTTCATTACAGTAACTTGTAATATCATCATACAAACTGAGTCTTTTTTGGCAGGCTTTTGCAAACTCTGTGATATTTGATGTCTTCAGTGAGCTTAAATTAGAAATTTTCAAAAACTGAGCCGTGTATTGTTCTTGATGCTTCTTTCGTATAAAATTTGCATCATTATAGTCACACAGATGATAATACTCATCCAAACTTGTTGTCCTTTGCCTTCCAGATGTATCTACGGCGGTTAATATTGTAAAAACACCTGGGCCTACCCCCCAAATATCACAGCCATTTCGGATGTCATCAATAAAATCTGAGGGATTTTTAGTTGTTGCCAAAGATCTCTTGACAGTTCGGGTAAAAAGAAAAGATATTGAGTGACCATCCGTCGTTATAGCGTTTCTATTAATGATAATTAGATATTCCTGTCTTGTATTGTTATTTTACACATAGCTTACTTAAACTTCTTTCCACTCGTAAGGCTGTCTCTAGTACGAAATCCCAATTTGGTAAAATTGAACAAATGATAGTAAAAATCAGTCATGTCAGATTCGGTTTTCTTCCCTTTCGGGTAATTTGGTATGCCACATTGTTTCACCAGTCTCCAAAAAGCTTGAGCATCAATTTTGACTGATTTTGTTTGAACGGAATATATAGGCGCAATGGAAAAAAAAAGCGACATCCTTTTTTGTCAGTGTATTTAGCAGGAGTGAATGTGCCATCTTGTATTCTTGTTTTAACTGTATCAATAAAATTTTGAACTACTGATACTTGTTGAGGAGTAAGCTTGGCTAGTTTTTTTCCTGGGGCAAACGTCTTGTTGGAATTGATTAACTGCAATGTTTCTTCTCTTAAAGAATTAAACTTCTTTTTACTCAAAGCACTAGTGAATGGAAGCTCTCTGAGCTTATGATACACATACGCTTTGGAAGCGACTTTTGATGGTACGTTTTCCATAATAAAAACTTTTTTTTGCACTTCTTGCGACAGAAAGTAGAAAAGGATTATTTCATCATTGGAAACTATTTTTTAATCAATGCATAAAAATACTTGATAGATTGAAAAACAGCCTTTGCATAAAATCTCGTCTATTTAATGTGCTTTTTCTTTTGCAGAAAAAAACAAGTAAAATGGGATACATTATTGAAGTAATGAGCGTGCAAATATGATTCAAAAGTGGCTAAATGACTAATGTATTCTTTACTTTTTATGAAAACCAAACAGTATGCAAAGGTAATAGATACACATTGTATCACAAGCAATGTATTTAGCTCGATAACAAGAGCGATCGTAGTCACTGTAGAGGCCCAATAACGATTTGTCCAAGCCCAGACCGCAGAATTGAAGTAAGTAAAATATGAACATTATCCAAATAATGTTAAAATAGCATTTATAGAAAGGGGAATTGCGCTTGGGCGTTGAAGTTGAAAGGTTCCAAGGAATTACGTGGAGACACTGGTAAAAAGAACAGCTATATTGAAATGATAAAATACTAAGGAATAGCAGGACATGTTGTACATCTGAAGTGATTAGTAACATGAAAAATGCATTATCCAGTCCTGAGGCAATGGGTGGTTGGAATGAGCTTCGAGAAGATGACAAAGAACGAATTCGAAGAGCTTGGGAAGAAGGAGATATTCCTAACATCGAAAAGCCAGAACCTGCACACTCAAAAAGGCCTAGGTATAATTAATTAAAGAGGCTTGATGACAAGCTCATGTTTTTTATATATTTCATGTAAACTAAAATATCATTTTGAACATTCTTATCAAAAGAGGAAGAAAACTTAAGCAAGAAAATCAAAATGAGGAGTACAGGGAGTAAGCAAAAGCATAAATAAATAAAGACTTTGTATTTCCTAAATGTGAGTTATTTAGACTTGACGAAAATGATGTGAGTGAAGAAGGAACTGAGCACGAAGTTGATGATGAAGATGCGGATCAAGACGAGAATACTGATCAGCCAGAATATACCGATGATGAAGCTCATCATGATGAAAATTATCATAAAGAGAATAGAAAGCATCAGGATCCTGGCCCTTCTCAGTCTAATAGGAAGAGAAAGATTGCAGATCAGCCTGTTAGCGAAGAGTAAGGAATAATTTAATGTCTACATAATGATTTACTTATAAGCTTGTGCAGAGAAAAAGATAGGAAAATCCGAAAGGTGAGAAGTGAAGCCGGTAGAAAAGGCGGCCGAGCAAGCAGAGGCAAGAAAAAATCGTAAGCTTTATATTTTGCTGATAGAACTCGAACTAATTTGCTTTTTTAGTAGAGCTGGCCGTAATGTTGGTGGAGGTTCTCGCTCCAAGACTGGTTCTGAAATTCGTAACGATCTTCCCAAGAATATGACTTCACAAGGCCTTGAAGAGAGCCGTTTAACTGATGAGGACCATGTTAATGAAACGGTTGACGAACAAAACTATGAAGAAGACGTTGATCCCCGGTATGTGTTAGAGCGTTTAGTGAAATCAATTGGGACAGAGCTCCAACTATTTAGCCCTAGTGAGTTACCTCCACCTAAAAATGCCGGTAAAAAGAGAAAAGCCAAGGAAGAAGGTGATGTTAAAATGAAGAAATCCAGAGCAACTGAATGAACGCTTTCAAATTGTAGCATACGATCATTTTTTATTTCAATACTATCGAAATAAATAGCACTTTTTATATAGAGTGATTAGCATATCAAAAAAAAAGGATGATAAAGTTAATATGATACAGAAGGACAAGTCGTGAATTTCAGAGGAAGCTCCACGTTGTATCCTTTTTTATTATCATTGGTATAAATGTAGGTTATACACATACAGTGTTAAAACTAGAATGACTTTTGTGCTTCCTGTCTACGCTTTCACGTAATTACTTGGAAATACACCAGATATGGGCTTCCCTGTTCCATCATCTTTGTAACCTAGCCACCATACATTATCCGAAGTGTCTGTTACTACTACTTGATCACCTTCGTTTAGGTCTAATTCACCATGCTCTTGAGCTTTAAAAGGGTATTTTGCAGAAAATAATTTAGGGTGAGTTTCATTAATAATCGGCGATGCATTTGTCTTTGCTAATGCCGCTAATGAGGTAAATGAAACAATACCAGCACTGGTGATGGCTGCGCCAGATGTTTGCGGTTCAGAAGAAACGACTTTTTTCGACAGCTCTTCTGGAGCATTTGATGGCCCTGCAATTGCCGCAACCGCTGGTGTTACACCTAAACTTGTTCCTGCTGCCAAACCTAGTGCATCTAGAAGCCGATCATAAGGAGGCATTGGTTCTGGTCCGTCTTGGGTACCATGGTATTTAAATACATAGAGTGCGCCGGCTGCACTTATTGCAAACAGAATTCCGACTGATATTCCAATAGATATTAGCACAACTGCTGTTACAGGCAAATAATCTTACAAGAAGATGAGTACAATGATGAGTGTATGATGTATAAATACTTTACGATGAGGTGGGCTTGGAGTATAAAAACTCGATTTATGAATTACTGCTTGAATTAGCGCAGGCCTTCTTGACCACTGAATAGAAGTAAGGTACGGAAACCAATCATTACCATCATATAGAGCTGCGCTGACTCGACCTATACCGAGAATATGAATGTCTCCAACTGCAAGAAGAACATCCTTTGTTCCATCAGGATAGTTATGTATAGCATCGGATGCAGGTAGAAGAAGTATCTGATTGATAATAGTATCAAATCCCAGACAGGAGTCATTTAACGGAATGTATGTTGTATCTTGAAGTGTTCCAATAAAGAATTGATTACTATTATTACCCCTGTAATGAACTTCATTTTAGCAAAAATAGCATTTATTTTCTCATGCACTTACCTTGAATATCCAGAAACAATAAAAGTATGACTGTCTCCTTCCACGATGGTTGATGTAGGAATTCCGGGTAGTGAATTGGTATTTACTGACCAGACATTTGCTTGATCATTTAGCTTGAACACTGTCGCATTGTTTTGATGAGCTTTAAAGTCCCCAAATATAGTGATATCTCGGTGATTTGATACAAACATATCGTACACAGTTCCATTCAAGCCAAACGCAACCCGATTCCATTGCAGTGTTCGAATATCTAATAAACACATGGCATCACACTCAAGGGAGCCTACCCTTGTGAAACTGCCACCTACTAAGATACTCCTTCCATCAGGGTATGCCTTGATGACATTTATTGCTCCTGGCTGGTTATTATCTGTAAGATAACGTTAAAAAGTGAGCATTGCCTTATATATTATAAACCTACAAAAGATGCCATGAATAGGAATTTTTGTAAAATTCATATTAATATCATAAAGAGAAAAGCTGGTTGTTCCGTTGGATTGAAATCTACCGCCCACGTAAAGATAGTTGTTGATCACCAGCATGGAACGAACATATCCATGAACTTCATCAATGACAACCCACTTGTTATTTGCCAAAGTCAAAATCCTGGTGATATTGTTGCTTGCAAAATGCCCAGAAACAAAAGTAGAATTTTTGGTATCGATTGTGCCAGCTGTAATATACACTGGATAGAATGTATCATTATCATCAAACGTGTAGGGTATCAGCTGTGAAGAGCCTAAGGTAACAAAGTCAGCACGGTATGTTTCTGCATTAAGTTGGTTTCCTATAAGCACTGTCTGTGATCCATTGCTTAGAACAGCCTTAAGGTCACCAATGATAAGTGAGGATGTATTCCCCCAGGAATTGCTTTGAATACTCCATTGTGCTACGCCTCCGCACTTTATACACTGCTTGTTAGTTAAATACTGACATGAGAAATTTCCTGATAAAATAAGGATATCGTTTGTTGAAGATAAAAGGAGCTCATTAACTGGCCCATTGACGCCGCCCTGCAGGGCAGACCATGAGTCTTGTTGTATGTCATACTCGACAATGTAAGGAAGACTGATATTTAACATAGCTGTAGAATTAAATTCACCTGCGACAAACAGTCCTATTGAGGAATAAAAATGTAATATCAATATCTGATGGCATTTCTTTACACCATATGTTTTCTTACTGGATTGTTTATAAGATACCAGCTTTGAAACTTTCCCATTAAGCCCTGAACTATTCAATGGGATCATCCTTCTACTTGGATAGTCATATGATACGATGTTTCTGTAGCCACTACTGGCGTTTAAGCATAAAAACTCACCGCCGATGTATATAGTATCTCCAGCAGAGGCATCAATAGAGTAAACAGTAGAATTAAATGGTAGCTGTTCTATAAAGTATGTTAGATGTCTATTACAATATTTGAAGAGATATTTCTTTACCATTTAATGCTCTCCAGGATACAACGGATGTGTTCTGTGCCAAGGTCAAATTGTATTCCAGGATGCTTATGATAGGTAATACTGCTGTGGAGTTTCTAATAAGGTCCAAGTTATCTGCCATAATTGTAGCTGTTCCTTGGATAGTCGCATTGGAAGCAGGGCGAAGGATAATGGACGGCCTGAAATTGTTGGATTTTGGCATAACCAATCCTGAATAGAGTAATGTACGAGTGTCTTCAAAGACATTTTGGTCTAAATAGACTACAATTGACTGCCCTGGTAAAAGTTGAAGTTGATACTCTACTTGTGTTCTCTGGTAGCAGTTGGCACTGCCGATGCATCCTGGTGTGGTTGCATAAATATTATATTGACCAAATAATGGTATATGACTACATATAAAGAAGGTTAGATAATGTAAAATGTTTGGATGCAACACTACGGTTCATATAAAATGCTTGCATTTGTCATATTAAGTTCAGAAGTTGAAACCTTGGCTTCTAGAACAGCCTGATAATAACCATAGACATACACCTTTTGCCAGTTTCCGGTAACTGTTATTCTACTTGAGGAAATCCCTTGGCAAGTACTATTGCCAATAAACATAGATGGATGCAAGGATATGTCTGTTTAATTGACGTACTTAGTAAAATACAATAGTAGTTGCTTCTTTTTTTTCTTTCTATTTTTAGCTCCTACCTGATTGATATATTTGAACATATCCTAATCCACCGCCTTGACCATACCATGAGTTTATATTTATTCGGATCCCACTGGTCACCATTAAATCCATCACGGTGAAATCCTGGAAGGTAGTGTTTGATAATACGCAATTAAGAGTGCATTGGACAGTTTGGTGGGTAGTTGGATCTGTATAGGACAAATTAAAGTACTTATTAGAACCCAAAGAGAGAATACTAACGAGGGAATAAAGATTAATTAATATAAAGGAGCGACATCTCTCTTTTTTTTCTTTTTCCCCTATTTTTCTCGCCCTTTACTTGAAAGAAACAGTTCCTCTTTTTTCGCTTGCAAGCACATTAGAAAGTCGAAAAGTTGTTGGTCTGATAGGAGTTGCAAATGTTGCTTCCCAATATCCAGGCGCGTCATCTTGAAGAAGCCAAAACTGACTATTCGAGTATGGAGAGACTTTTATGGGACAAACAATACTCTTTGGATCTGAAGAGAAGGCACCATTTCCTGACGATATTGACTATAATAAAGAATTATTAAAGGATAGGAGTGATTGGGCATGCTGAGTATATTACAGTTAAAGGCATATTCATTGGTATAGGCTGACTTGTGCTAAAGTTATCTATCAGATCAGATGTATCTGATAGAGTCGCATTAAACTGTCCACCAAACAGTATTGTATTTTGCTTGTTATTTCTAGTGATCGTATATACTGGGCCATTCAGCCCTTTCCAAGGTAATGGTGCCCAAGAGCTATTAGACATATGCCACATGGCGACATGTCCACTATACAAGCTAGTATTGGTATTAAGAGGTGCAGTAAAGTGCCCACCTACATAGACAACATTATCTATTGAGTCACAATAAAGGGAAAGTACAGGGCCGTCGAGGCCATGATCTAGAGGCAAAAATTGGTTTGTCTCGGTATTGTACTGCACAATATAGTTTATGGTCTGGTTAGTGATGGTTTTGAAGTAACCAGCCAAGAAATGGATCGAATCTCGAAGCGAACAAGTAGCAGTAATATCTCCATCAAATGTACTGTTTGTACTTTTGAATAGACCATCTTGATGTATTACTATATTGTTGAGTAATGGGAGAATCTGAAGTGTATCATTCACAAGTGATATTCCTGCAAAATTACCGATGAAGCCCAGCTGTCCATTGATGTCAAATGTGTTTATATCAGGTACATTTAATAATACTTCTCCTTGAATAATGTATGCAAAGAGTAATAAAATAAATGCTTGGGATAACTGCATAAAGTATAGGAGAAGGAAAAAGAGAGAGAAAAAGACATATTTATGAAAATAAACAAATCCTTGTGTTTGTGCTCCCCTGAACTTGGTCATTTTTTTTTGTCATGTAAAGCAATTTTATTGAAGGAGTCTCATATTGTACATTTACAATATTTATTATTCAATAAGGAGCAATACAATATACGTTAAAGTGCATCATATTTGCAAATATTGGTATTACTCTATTCTCCTTTTACTTATAGTTTTAGCTTTTGAATATTGAAATGCCTCATTGTAGCACATAATGTCATTTGGTCATTTTCATAAAGTCATCTTTTGGTCTAATATTGATCAAGGGCATCATTTAGATTCTGCAAGTGTATATTTCATTTGAAATAGTAAAGTGAATAAACACTGATTATAATCTGTATATACTATAGCTGTCATTTAACATTGTAAAAATGGAATATATCAAAAATGCAAGATTATGACAGATAAGTCAAAAAAGAGTCTATAAAGGAGCAGTGGACAGAAGATTATTAAAGAAATGTTTACACCAAAACATTTTTATATAATTATTTAAAGTGTTCTAGGGTATAAACAGTCTGTGAAGTAACTATTTAAAAAATTCTACTGTACATGTGCCATAAACAAAACAACCTTTTGATACAACACATTCAAGAAACCATGACAAAAAGGAAGAAAAGTGCATGTAATTAAGTATGTATCATTTCTATAAGAGATTTTGCGTCACCATGCTTTAAGAACTATGTGTAAAAATGAAAGTTTAGTCATGTATATAAATCATAATATTTAATCTTTACTGCTCCTGTAGCACCCAGATGTCCTTCATGTCTTAAGAACAATGCCTTCATTTCACCATTCGACCAAAAGTTGATAGCATAAGAAAGTGTATTCATTGTGATTGGGTGTCCTCGAATGAAGCATCCACCAAAGTATATACGAGTCAGATTATGTTGCTTTGCGTTTAAATAGGCAATTTGTCCAATGTTATTGCTGACCATAAATAATAGGCTCTTTGCAATGTCTGGGGATTGAAATTTACCCTGTGCTTGTCGAACCCCCTTTTTGAACACTTTACCAAAGCTACTTGCTATACGTGTAGATTTTAATCCCAATTTTGAGTAATCTGATCCGTATATGTCCCCTACTAATAGGTCTACATTTCTATTATCACCTGTTTTCGACATTTCCAGCATATCTATGTATATATACTACTATGAGTTACATATTTATATCATCTATCACTCTCAGACAATACCGTCAAATGATGTTGCATCTGTTAGTAGTGACATTAATCCCCACAGTGTACCTCCTCCAAGCTATTCATATTAATAAGCCTTTTTCTTTTTCTCGATCCGCTTACGGCCATACTTACCGAAGTACCACTAATGCGGGAAAATTCATCTGGACCTGTCACCTTCAAGATACTTACACCAGACCCAATATTCACCAACTATATGATACATGTTGGTTCAATGTGTTGTGCCCTATACACTCTTACCATGTATGGATAGAGATCGTTTGCCTTCTTCTCAAACTTCATTGGCTCAGGATCATGCTCATTATAGGTAAACACTTCATAGGGTATTTCTGTAATGAAAAAGTTTAATCCTATCACAATAGATTAGTAATACAACTAAGGATATGGATCTATACTATACCTGTAATAAGACAGTCCATCTCATCCTCTTTTTCAATTATTACGCCAGATAATCTTTCTTTCAACTTATCATAGAATAAGTGAGCTCCACCTCCCGTTGCTTTTAGCACGAGATTATTGTTGTTATTACGCGGTTCAAGTCTGGCATCGGCCATCAATGCAGCAACATAATCAATGCACTCGTCTATTTTCTCTGTTTCGAATTTCTTAAAGTGAAGTCTACCTCCTTTTCTATTTGCTGAAGAAGTAAAGTAAACTATTTTTGCCAAAGAGCCGCCAATCTATAATAATGGAGGGTTGATGAGAAAGAGTTTGTAAATGTGATAACATCATACATCTATAGCCACATGGGCAACATGTTCGTTTTGATTAGGTAAAACGATATCTCTTGTTTCGTGAGCAGCAAATGTAGCTTCAGAAACAGAAGCTCCAACAAGATTCATAATTGAAATTTTATCTTTGTTCATGACTAAAGCGAAAAGAAAGAGACGGGGGGAGAACAACAGTGTGCGAATGTGTGTATGAGTTTTAATTTTTATTTTAATCTTTGGAGATCTCTTTGTTTGTCTTCTATTTGCTTATTGAGAGATGCGATCTTATCATCCTTGCTCTTTATGAGTTCTGTCACTATATCTTGTCTATTAGATTCATCCAAAAGCCCTTTACTTTCCAATTCTTCAACCAAGTTCATCCTTCTTTCTGCTTTTTGATATAGTTCATCAAACATTTCTTGAACCTTTTTTTCAAGGTTTAATAGGTTTTCTTTTTCTTGTCTTTCTTTATGTAAATCATTCAATTGTTCTGTTTTCTCCTTGACGTTGTCTCCCTCTTGTTGAATCTCTTGTTTGATTTCCTTGATTTGTAGTTCTAATCTCTGAATCTCTTGATTAAACGACATTTTGCTTCTTATTTTTTCGAGGTCACGGAAATAAAATAAAACACAAATTATCTGAGCTTTTAAAAAATGGCTATTTAACCATTTTCTTGAGCCATTCTGCCATTTCTTAAATATATATGATCTTTATATATATATTGACTTTTATAGAAAAAGGAGGCAAATAACGCAGCATAAATAAGCTGATCAGAGAGTGTTATAGCCATTTATCAAGAAAGAGAGAGAGAGAATGACTATTATATTTTCCGCTGTATTGCTTTATTTAGTCTATAATAAAAACAATTACTACTATTTAAAATAATGTTATTGTTTCCTCCCCTTTTTTTATTTGCTTTAGAAATGATTTCAAGATCAAAAATAGAGCGCATTATCTGTTTAATTTTAAATGGAGTTAATATCCTTTTAGACCTTTTCATTATTGTCGCTATCGTATTCAAATGTTTACATGGTGATTTTGCAGCAATAGTGATGGGTATCTATGGCATGTAAGCAAAAAAAGTGAACGAATGATGATATTTATGCTCATTATACTTAAGTATCATGGCTGGTTTATTGATCATAAATGAGCTACAAGAAATCAAATACTCGATCATTTATTTTTATTTCCTAACTACACACAGAGGAAGAGGATTCATTATGATATTGTATGCATGTCTTTAAATATGCACTCTACTCACTCTTATATATAGCTTTGGATGCTTAGTACTTGATGTCAATATTATAAATATTGTAGCAGGAACATTGGTATTAGCTACAGGTTTATTATATATCATTCTGTCATTTCTATCCAATTTTCCTCAGCCACAACCACTATATGTCAATTGGAAAAATTGGAAGGATATCTCTGCTGAAGGATTAGATTTATCGTGTTCAAGGAACAATAATACACAGCCAGTCGTACGTAACATTGTTCTCTAGTTTGGCACCTTTTTAACCTCTTTTTATTGTATAGAGTGAAATGCATCAAAGGCTACCTGTATAGAACATTTCCTTTTTTTTATTATTGTTCTAATCAACCTAGCACACTGTGAGTTAAAGAAGATGTGAAGAAAAACTACACTTCTACCTTCACTGTTGAATAAATATGCTGTATAAAGACATATGCACTCAAGAAACCAAGTGTGCCTGTACATAACCCTAATAAACTACAGCTCATCAATAGATGAACAATGTAAATAAAACTGCCAAGCCCTTGAAGGGGTGAATGCTGCATAAAATAAAATACACCATAACTATAGACCATGTCAGCTCACTACGTCATAATTTTTCTTTTGTTAAACTTACATAAACATGTAAATGGCAGAAGATCCACCAATCATGAACGATTGCCACCACCAAAGATAATCTTCTGTGCATAATTGTAAAAATATCAAGATAATAGTGACAGCTGAAGTAGTTGTCAGTAGGCATGTCATACACTGTATCGTATAACTGATAGATAGCATAAATTCTCCTTTTGTAGATGAAGACAGGTAGTCATGCCAATTCAAATAGATGGCTGAAAACGGTATGACACCACCTAGGATCACTCTGTTGTTATTTGATTTAGTAAAGCATACCTACAAGAAATATATACGCTTGCCTAATAAAGTTGAGTTGATACCATCGCTTGGAAGGTATCATTCTAGGAATTTGTGTAGTCCTTGATGGGTACTCAATTCGATCCTTTCTTTCGCCCAAATAAGATCCTAATAAAGTCAAAGGTACTGTTAAAAAGATACCTAAAGAAATGAGTGACAACCAGCCATGAAAAGAGATGGCAAGTGAAGATTGCTGAGCCCACGCAAGGATGCTGATAGTAAACAAGACACACAAGAAAATGCTTGGCACGATACTCGATGTCTACAAAATATTTATTAGTCAAATCATTTCATAAAACTACAAACCTTACCAGAAAGCTGTTGAGTACCCATGCTTTGCCCCTAAACACTTTATAAACCCTAGCACTCCAGTATCCAGCAGGAAAACTGAAAAGTCCAAATATTGTTAATACTTCTCATGTTTGTTTGCACACACTAACCTTCCAAGCAAAAATAAAGCAGTTGCCCGTCGAGTGAACGAAGTGGGCTCGGCTGGGTGATACCATCCCATGTAGAGTGATATGAGTATGCCAAGAGCGATTACCAATAATTGGATACCAGTTCCCATCAATGGCGTTAATAAACCACCATAAACAGGTCTTCTGAATACGTCTCGATAGACCAACTTCCATCCAACATAATCCTCTACGTCGTCATATACCTTTTTGTCTTTCAGTTTTCTTTATACGTCTCTTTCTTTCTTTTTTTTTTACCTTGATATCTCTATCATTTTGGTTTGAGTTGCTTCGACGATGCCTTGTCTTGAACAAGATAAATCCCACCATGGCCCATGATATAATTGTGACGATCATACTGTTTATGGATGCATGAAGATGTCTTTCCGGATTAGGTGGTAATAAGAAGGCATCCCAGCGATTATTGACGCTGTTCACTTGCTTCCATCTGACTGAGTAAGTATATGATACTGTGGATCTTCGCTCAACAATCTTTTGATGATCATAATCTACATTCTTTTTTGTGCACTCTCCTTCTGAGATACTAAAGACAAGTGAGCCCAATAATACCCAAAACGATTGTCTGTCCTTACGAATCTGGATAAATTTCAAGCCCCATAATGCGATATCTTCCTGCATCGTTGATATCATAGAGTATTTGTATAATAACGTGGTTATTGAGATAGTATGCATTGCCGTTCTTGAATCCTAATGGGAATCCTATTCTGTACTTATGCTCTGGCTCTTCATTGGTATAGGATACAGTAGCACCAGGCATACTGTCTAATTCCCTATAGATATTCTTTGATTCATGCCAATGTATAGAGTATTTTTTATATGTACTCTTACCAATCAACTTGATATTCATCTCGTATCAAGTCACCCAACAGGATGGCATCCTCCAGTTTGAGAGATTGTCTACATAGTAATTTACATTCTTGATCCTCGAGTACATTAATCTAAAACTGATGAGTAAACCAGAGAGAATCCTTTGTTGCAACCCGATATTACTTTATAGTTGCTCTGAGTCAGTCTATCCCCTCTGAGGTCTTGATCATATACAAGTAAACTCTTCTTTCTTGGAGATGATGTAGGACAGATGAAAGGTAATGACTGAATACTATATGTCAATGGATTCTTTAAAGAGAATATCTTATTATAGTAAAGTGGTATCGTCTCTCCTGGTCTATAACCTTTTTGGCTGAAGGCAAGTACAGACTGGAAAAGAAGAAGAAGACTAAAAATGACTTTATAAGTCATTGTGGGCTGGTTTAACGAGTAAATATAAAAAGAATACCCAATATTTTTGGTTAAACCAACTAGGGCCAAAAGAGGCTGAATCACTGTATCACCTTGGTAACGAAAAATATTTAATACCCTCAGCCCTTATTCTTTTCTTCTTTTTCTTCTTTATTATCTTTCAGAATGAGCAAATTCAATCTAGAAGTTCCTGTAGATTTATCAGAAAAGACATCGAATCGATTAGACACTGCTAAAAAGGTGCTTCATTTGATCACATTGGCTACTACTCTATTGACAATCTGCGTTGTTGCTCCATTGATTGCGACGGAGGCACGTTATTTGGTAAGTAAAGATGACATAATGAAGAAATACAGTTACTAATATATCATTAGGGTGGTGGTAAACCAGCTCCTAATTATACTTTATTCGTATGCATCTTCAGTCTTCCTATTCCATTTTTCTTGGTCTATTTCCCTTATATGTACGAGCATCATAACAAGTTCAGGAAGCCTGGTAAATTCTGTATGAAAAACCGTACCAATTTGATATTTTGTGGTTTCAACTCTTTTCTTTGGGCTACTGCTGGTATCGCTACTGCAGTACACTCTAATGATTCTTCCAATTGTGCTGTGGATAGTAGCTTACGGAAGACATATGGTGATTCATATGTTAGTGCTTGGGGAACACAGGTATTTTTTTATAAAAAACAATAGTAATAATAGATAAAGTAAGTAACATCCGATGGTTAGTGTAACCTGGCTAAAGTCACCACTGCATTTGCTTGGATTACCTGTCTTATTTGGGTATCGACTTTATTATGTACTTTGGTTGCATTTTGGAAAGAAAAGCAGGATATTCAACAACGATTGAAGGAACATAGAATGAGTAAGCAAACCAAATTAGAAGAGGGCCCTCCTGCTGGATACACTAGACCTGCTTATCAAGAAGAAGATCATTATCAACATGAGAGTTCACCTTTCAATGACCCTGTTCAGTATCAACAGCCTCAGTACCAGCCACACTCTCCTTATGACGGCCACAATGTAGGTCAATATCAGCCTACGAACCAATACCACACTAGTCCACCAGTACAATTTTCTCCCATGCCCACTCCACAGCATGTGATGCCTACCCCAGAACAAGCACATTATAATGCTCATAACTTTTAATATTTTTTTATATAATGTTATCCCTTGTATATTCTATTTTCTTATTGTAAATGATAAACTTTTTTTTTTATTTTTTTGTAATCGGATTTTAAATTATTCTATTTTTATCAAAAGTCCTTCCGTCATAATCAGGTACACCAAGACATTCTTTGACATCAAAAAGGTAAATTATTATGATTGGAGCATAATAAAAATAGCTTCTCTTGGCATATACTTTCCTACATTTACTATTCTATAAGGAATCAAAGTTGCTGAGCTATCAATACTAACAAAAGAAGTGAAATGATGTCAAGATATTTGTAAACCGTCACCATTTCTCTTTTTTTTTTTTCCTTTTTCCTTTTTCTTGTAATGAATCTTTCAAAAAAGTTATGGACATTAAGTAATAAAAAATAAATAAGCTCAAGAGATTGTGACAATTGAACATGTTAAACTATAGAATATCGACCTTATTCATCCATCAATACTACAAGAAGATTAAGAACAAGAGCTGCATCAAAGCCAGATCCTAAACTAAACATGCCATACTTTGATGCCGAACGGTTCGCTCGTTTATTAGAAAAAGAAGGCTTTTCGGCAGTACAGGCTAATACTATTATCCATGCCTTAGACGACGTAGTTGAAGAAAGGTAAAGATACTATTATACAGCCTATATTTTGACCCTCTTCTAGTACCATCAATGTGACAAGCAACTTGGTGAGTAAAGCAGATCAGGAAAAGGTAAATTCGTCGTCTTTTTTTTTGCTTTTACAAAGTTTAACATGTTTAGACCATTGAACGATACAAGCAAGACTTTGTAAAACTTAAAAATGAAATACAAGCGATGGAAAGAAGGGATGTGGAGGAAGTCAAGTTTGCCAACGAGAGATTAAAAGGAGAGATTGAGAAACTGAAAAAGATACTAAGAGAAGAAATTACACGCAGTCAAGCAGGTGTTCGATTAGATCTAAACTTGGACAAGGGACGTATTAGAGATGAATCTGTTGAACAGCATAATAGATTACAAGAAACAGACACTAAAATTGAAAATGAGATACAGGCATTAAAAAGACAGATGGAAACGATCAAACTACAGATATTACAGTACATGATCGGTACCATCACGGGTGCTGGTACTTTAGTGCTGGGTAAGAACTACCAAAATATTCAAATCATAATCTGACTATCCTACTACTATTTTTTAGGCTACATCCACTTCTTTAGCTAACCGTGGGAAATTTAGCTGCCATGGGAAAATGTATTAGACGCGACTTGACCATATACCATTCAATTTTATAACATAAAAGTACCCGTTGATTTCACTTTGAATATTATAAAAGACAAGTGAATAAAGTTGGTTAGTAAAATACTTTCCATAAGCACTGGATGCATAACATTTACTGCTTTTACCCATCTGATGACTAAAAATCAAGTTCCGTAATGCACAAAAATAAGCTCGTCCTTTTTTGAGTTTTTTTCTTTTTCTTTTTCTTTTCCATACTTTTTAAAAAGATGCTCAGAAACTTGGTTAGTCCTGCTATCACTAGACCTTTGACTCGTAGCAAGCTCACAGCTAGAGCTTTCTCTACTTCCTTCGTTCAAAGACGTAAGCATTCAATAAAAATAGACGCGTCTAGAGTTCTTATCAATTTCAATGTAGAGGCTGCTTCTACCAATGACTCTGGTTATACTCATATCTTGACAGAAACGAGAGACAAGGTTGGATTGATCACCTTGAACCGTCCAAAGGCATTGAACGCGTTGTGCAGTGACTTATTCCATGAAGTCAACGATGCTCTTGATAAGTATGATGCTGATGACAATATTGGTGCTATCGTCATCACTGGTTCTCAAAAGGCTTTTGCTGGTAAGCAAAAACTCTTATTCTGTTATACATTATTCACCTCTCTCTCTCTCTCTTAATGAAAGCTGGTGCTGATATTAAGGAAATGAAAGACTTCAAGTACGTTGATACTTACAAGAAGAACTTCTTGGGTCACTGGGCTCATATGGTTGACATCAGCAAGCCCATCATTGCTGCTGTCAACGGCTATGCTGTAAGTTACACACATCTGACATAGCCAGTGATCCTGACAATTTTTTTAGCTCGGTGGTGGTTGTGAATTGGCCATGATGTGTGATGTATGATCTATAGTTCTTATTATTTCATTGCATCTCATGTTTTTCTTTTAGATCATTTATGCTGGTGAAAAGGCTGTTTTCGGTCAACCTGAAATTAAGCTGGGTATTATTCCTGGTGCTGGTGGTACTCAACGTCTTGTGAAAGCTGTCGGTAAATCCAAGGCCATGGAAATGGTCTTGACTGGCTCCTTCAACCTGAACGCTCAAGAAGCATTGCAATCTGGTAAGAGAAAAAAAAGGGGGGAGATAGTTAAAAAAAAAAGGCCCTTAACCACATATTACTTTATATAGGCCTTGTTAGCAAGGTTTTGCCTGCCGAGAATCTTGTTGATGAAGCTGTCAAGACTGGTAATGCTATTGCCAGCATGAGTCAACCTTCCGTTCGCATGGCTAAGGAGCTTATCAACAAATGTAAGTGTGGTTATCTAGTTTATCGTACACATACTTTGCCTAACTTTAAAATTATGTGTAGCATTTGAAGTATCTCTTTCTTCCGGTTTGCGCTGGGAACGTATCCTCTTCCAATCTCTTTTTGGAACTGTAAGTTAATTCATATAAAAATATACTAGAAATACTAAAATTTAAAATAAAAATAGGCTGATCAAATTGAAGGCATGGGTGCTTTTGCTGAAAAGAGAGCTGCCAAATTCACTCATAAATAAAAGTTTTATACCTTTTGAACATGGCACGCAAAAAGACGTGCTATTTTTATTTTAACAAAGAAATGGATAAGTTAGGCAGTAGCATTAGTGATGTTAAGAGGGCGATCAATGATATGCATGATGCCGTTATTGAAGAGAATGTTGGATCGAATAACTTTGGCAGTACCGTTCAATGTAATTTGAGAACTAGTGGCATTAACAGAAGCTGGCAAGGTGGCATTATTGTTGAAGGTAGTCAGATTGAATTCACCGTTGTTGATTGTAGCATTTTGAGTAAAGTTGGTAGTAAAATATAGACCATAGACGATGTGAGAAAGTGCCAATTGCCGGAGAGTGTCATTGTTCATGCCTTCAGCTTGCGACAACTGGAATGATTTCGAATCAGGAGCAAAGATGGTAAACTAGTCATAAAAAGACAGTCAGTCTCGATTCAAAAAAAAAAAAAAAAAAAAAAAACAAGCCTAAAACCTACATTGGTGGCATTATTTAAAGTTTCATTCAGCATTGGATACTTGCGTAAGGCTTCTGCAAGGTAAGAAACATTTCTGACTTCGGGAATTACAACAGATGGTTCCAAAGGAGGAATGAGCACTAGAGCACATTATTAGATCTAGAATACATGTATGTAGCATATACTTGCCAGATTGGATAATGTTTACATGGCCATTTGTTGCATTCAAATCATTATTAATGACTGTAGAGGAGTTCACACCGTTACTAACGTGAAATCTGAGATACTTGGCATTCGTATCCAACCAGGTCTGATTCGTAGCATTTTCATAAGTGGCATTAGGCTGGATAAGAAGAGGCAAAGTTGAATTGATGTAGTGGTTGATGCTACTGTTGCTCAGCATTGAGAATGCAACTGTGACATTTCCTGTGGTCAAATTGGTCAATAAGAAGCTTTCATTGACTACATGATACTGAAGGACATCAAGTACTGTCACATTGTGGTAAGACCAGTTAGCAGGAGGATACTCCGAAGTAGAGCTGATGTTATGAGCTTGATTATAGGATCTGTAGGCTCTGGAAATCCTGTTGAGCGTGTTGTCATTAGGGACAAACACTGTCAAATTAGCAGTAGAGTTGGATAGAAGGTCAATCACAGGCCTGTAGCCAGCATCAGAGTTCAAGAGATCAATAAACCGAGCAGTACGAAGAGTACGGTTGTTTGTACTCAAGAGTTCAAAAATAGTCGCATTGGGCGTCGTTTCATTTTGAGCAAAAACTGCTAAAGCAGCAAAAAGCGCAACTGCAAGATACTGAATGACTTTCATTGAAGTTGATGCAGAAAAGGAAAATAGAGATAGAAAAACAGTGTCTCTTTATTCAAAACCCTTTGTTGCTTTTATATTCTTTTTTTTTTTTTCTTTTTTCCATAAAATAATCAACCCTTGCCTTTTATAAATATTAACAATTTTAATTCATCATGTTTGAAATAAATGACGATCCATGCATTAAAAAGGCTTTTTAAAACCTTTATAATTTACATCATAGATCATTAATCTACTCCTCGTCTTTCTATATCAAGAGAATAAATGAATCAGATATGGTCTGCATAATTATTTATTCATGTCTCAGCTAATTTTAGCCTTACGAATAGACTTTATGGCAGGTGATGCCATGTCAAATAAGAGAGTGTAAGAAAAAATTCCCTGCTTTAGCAACAAAAAGAAATGGAACAATTACGTCTCGATGATTGTTGGTTAAGAAACAAGATTGCCAAGCATTCCTTTTTTAAATTTTCCCCATGATATACAATGCTGTCAGCTTCTTAGACAAGTGTTGTTATGAAATGAACATTATAGTGTAAAAGTAACTAATTGACGTCTGTTTTTTATCGTTGAATTATATTGATTCCAATTTTTTTGTTAAATAAATATCTAAAATCACAATGTACATTGTGATTTTGTATATATACTGGCCTAGTTAATTTAAAGTTGCTGGTTGTATATGTTGTTGAATGATACGTCGTTATGTGACCACTAGATCTTTTTGTAAAATCAAAAATGGCTGTAAGATAACAATTTCTTGTGATAAACTTGTAGAGATACAATAAAGTTATATTTGCTTCAAGGGACTTGTATTTACTTGAGACAATAGCATCAGAGGTTTACTATATGCACAGAATAAGGCATATCGATAAAAATAAAGTAAATTAAAAGTGAGAATAACCAGAACTAATTCTGGATGCTGCAATTCGATTTCCATTTGACGACTTGAAGTTTGATTGAGGAATTGAAGTTCGTTTCATGAATTGTTTTTATTTGAAGCATTCCTATGTTTGGTGTTCTATGTAACAAAAGATTATATGCCCCTTTTCTTTACAACAGCAATAAAGATCATTTTTATTGTTTCTTTTAAAAAACACAAATGCAGTAAATGGTGATATATAAAATAAAAATACTATCAATTTAACACTGCGACAGGTTATGTCTTGTTAGGCTACCTTATATATAAGAGTTTAAAGTAGAATTTAATGAAACTTGGAGATGTTAAGCCTTGTAAAAGTTAGATATTCTTGTACGAGTAAGTTGCTTGTTTGTGACCACCAGATCTTTGACAGATCAATTAAGTAAGTAAATCAAAAGATGAAAGGTAAAATGAAAGAAAAGTCTTTAAGACTTGTATAAAAGTAAATAAGAAAAGAATATAAAAGGATGAGTGATTGAGAAGTTATTTTACTAATTTAAATACTGAATTCACTGTTCTTTATTTCATAAAAAGAAGAGGATGTTTATATGCTGTTGAAAATGTTATGGATAATGATACAAAGAAAAAAAAAACCTTTTGAGGTCTGCGTTGTATTGTAGTTTCTTAGGGTCTGGGGAAGTTTGTATGTAGATATAAAGATATAAAAATGTTTCTGTGTCAGGTAAATCTTGTAGGACTTGACTAGAAAGGAAAATTGTATAAAAAGAGTAAAAATAAAGTAAGAATTTAGTTCGCTAGTGAACACCAGGTCTTTATTTAAGATCAAGATATAGGCAGAATGTAAAGATAAAAAGAAAAGATCCAAAAGTTCTATAAGTAGTAATGTACTTATTGTACTGGATTATAAAGAAAATAAAGAGATATAAAAGAAAAAGGAAAGGTTTGATCCAAAGTATTAAAGAGTTGATATACTTGAGGTAGGATTGATTTGGATTGGATAGTGTAATTTCTTCGTTAACTTGGGAGTAGGTATATGTATAAGCAAGATAGAAAAGGAAATTTGTGTAATCTAAGTCTATAGTGACTTTGTGATCAACTATATTTTTTTAAAAAAATAAAAGTATAAAACCAAGAGTTTGTAAAGTGACCACTAGATCTAATTGTTAGATCAGATAATAAAATAAGAGAAATAAAAGAGGTTAGATTTTAAGAAAGAGAAAGGTAAGTTTGATTCAAAGTAATTGATACTTTCTTGAATATCATTTATTTTTGCCCAAAGGGCCAAAAGTATTTATAATAAAAATAAAATAAAATAAAAAGAATAAAATTGGGAAGCATGAACATGGTTGACAAGTTAGTTGAGGCATTCGTATTTCTTGATGTGCAGGTACTTCATGGTTTCAAAGTTCGAAAAAGGAAGTTTTCGTTTCAATAGGATTGGATTGGATTCTCTTGTTTTGTCCAAAGGACCAAAGTATTTATAACAAAAATAAATTTTAAAAAATTGAGATGCATGAGTTCATGTACATGAACTCATGTTCCTGGAGTAGTAGTTGACGTTGTTGAATATACTGAAGGTGCTTGATTTATGAGCCTTAAACTCAGACAAGGCAAAAATTGCTTCAGTACAATATACCAATTATGGCGTAATTTTTCTTCTTACGTTAGAGTGGGTTAAGTAGATTTGTTATAAAGCAAGAGCTTGGATAAATTTTACGTTTAAGCAGAAGTTTGAGTAATATAGTGACCACCGGAGCTTATTAAAAGACCAATTGTTCGGTTCGTAAAGGTGTGATGATAAAAGAATAAGGGCAGAAACTTTTATAACAAAGTTAAGACCTGTTTTATTGTATGAATATAAAATAAAAAGAAAAGGTGATTGATTCAATTAATTAATGAATGAATTTTGGCAAGAAGAGGTAAGGGCCAAGGTTATTTATATTGTTTTCGAGAGTACATCAAGACTACTCTTTGTATCAATGTTTTCAAAAATATGAAATTTTCGCTTTGCTCCTGTATTATTCGGTTACCAAATTCGTCCAAAATGTCACTGTTACTGGGTGTTAGTAAGGGGAAAAGGTGTTAGTAGTAAGGTTAAAAATAAGTTTTATAAGTAGAATTTGGTATTGTAGTGACCACCAGATCTTAATATAAGATCAATATAGAGCAATATAATGCTAAGTCTTGTGAGATAAAGTAAAAAAGTAAAATAAAAATGTTGTTAAGCAATTGTTGCTTAAGATATAAGATAAAATAGAAGTTATTGTGATCTGAAGATAAGATGATTCTTAGATGATTCTTCGATATTGTTTATTTCATGGATAATTTTGGGGATATTTATACTGTTTATATAAGTAAATATGCAATATAAAATATATAATAAATGATAAATGATAAATGATAAATAATAAATGATATATGATATATGATAAATCATAAATCATAAATCATTAAAGCTTGCATTGGACATGCAGAGTATAAGATACCAAAAAGGGTATCATCACAATAGAAAAAAAATAACCAGGCTTGCTACAACACAATAAAAGGAAAAAAGTGAACGATTTTATAAATCAGATTAGATATATCAACAATGGTATAGCGTCCGAAGAGGCCATTACCTTAAGCCAGGGATAACAAGAATATCAATCATCATGTAAGAGGTGGCAATGTCTCACAAATTGCCATTTCAGGAACACTGAACCCTAATCGATTGCATGACATGCAACATCCAATGTTTATGCATGCAATCATATAAGGGTTTCTTGTGCTACATAAATTTAAATTCCGACAAAATGACATATATCATTAAGAGCTCCGGGCCGGCTATGTCACGTGCTTGTCAGGTTCGTGCCGGACAAATTTTGCAAACACTTCGAAGTGCCTAATAAATGGGTGTTTTTTTTTTTTTCCAGAAAATAATTTTACAATTTACATCCAAATCACTCATGCGAACGAAAACCGTGTTTGTGTATTGAAGTTGCTGGATCAGCTAAGAGGAAGAGAGAAAAAACCAAACAGGAATTAGGGGAGTTGGGTAGTATAACTAATTAAGATAGGAGGGATTACGTTAAGAATTGGAAGATTAGTTTACAGAGGATAGATTTTAGGAAGTAAGAACGATATCATATCCGAACATAATTCACACTTATTGAAACTAAGGCAATCACCCTACATCAACAAAACAAGTGCATAACATCATCTCTTGATTTAAATGTCGCAATAATAAAACTAGGAAACCGTTAATTAAGCTACTTTACTCCAGAATAACCGTTAGACCCACGTCAACTATAATCCTACAGTAAACTTGAATAGTATAAATAGGAACTACTCTTTATCATAAAAAGAATTAAGTCAGTCTTACTTTATTATCTCTTGCATTTAATATTATTACACAGTCTTACTGTACCTTCTTGCCTTTTGCTTTTGATGTTATCATGGACGATTGAACAGTAAATATACTCTATTATGAAGACAGTAAAGATCCCAGTGTGACACAGGGCTTACGAATCTACAGAAACGAAACTGGAAAGCTTGTACAGCTTTAAAGTAGGCTTTATTCTATAATTAACATAGCATGGTAGTTCGTTTCTTACAATGCCTTTTTACTGTCGCTATAGAATATCATAGAGTAATCGTTGCCCCTGAAAGGAGAAAAGTCAATATTTTCTTTTGGCCAGTGTTCAGAAACACTGAAACCAAAAGTTCGTTTCTTGAAGCAAACTTGTAATTTTTTACTATTCTCATCATGTATGCATATTACTCATACTCACTATATTATTTAACCATTGATGTGATGTCTTAAGGCAGAATAAAAATGCTTTCAAACTATTCCCAAAATATTTACATATTCATTTAACATGTGCCAGGAAGTATTTTTTATTTCTTAAGGGGCATGCAAATGATACTAGTGTAAATCATATCAATTGATTTCAAACATAGTAAATGTAAGTATATCAACAATGTCAAGTATTCAATATGTTTAATTGACAAAGCGACACTCTTGGATGTATTCGTCCTTACCTTTCTACATTGCTATACTTTAGTTTATTCATTTATTATTATAATCAAATTATATGGAAAGTGACAGGAGAATTGTTTTTTATTCATCTCGTCCACTATAATTTGAAGGAAGAGGGGAGAATTTAGGATCAGTTAGGGCTTCCTTGTTTATGATTTCAGAACAAGTCTCATGTTAGTGTTACAATTAAATGCGTAATCAGTCAGTGTATTCTTGGGCTTTACAAGTTGAAGCCGAGATTTTAATGTCAAAACTGTATTTACTCTTCACAAGCCGACATAGTGAAGCTTTGGGTACTTTGCATCTCTCAAATATCTAAAGTAGTCGCTTTATTAACGGTTCTAAACCAATTGATAGTTCTTCACTAATTCACTTAAGTAGCCTTTTATGCTTTTTGTTAAGGATGTGCGAATAATCAACGTTTTTATACTTTTAGGAACCCTCTTTGTATTGTAACACCCATATTTGCACCGCGTGAACATTTAAAGCTCTCAAAGGCTAGTATGAAAAGCTTAAGCTGATCCTAGGTCACTGTGTGTAGTATATGTATGCGAATATCGCTGTTAACTGTTTCATCGACAATAAGCAAACCTTGAATAAATGGGCAAAACCATAGAAGATATCATACACGCGGGCTCTAACCATAATAGCTAATTTGGTAAATCTTGTGTTTGTGCCAAATATTAGGGTGGCTTGCCACACATATTTTTTTTTTATTAGTGTGGCACATTAAAGAAGAAATGAATCCTGTTTTTATAGTATGTTTTCATTATTTTATCCAAGAGTTAACGGCTAAATATGATCATAAAAAAGGTTCGCATACACATTGAACATAACCTTACATCTTGTATCAAACTATTCCAAAAGGATTGCTATAAGGTGACGTATAGAGTACAGAATTTGACGATTCTCGCTCAGAAAATATCATGATTAGAGGCTTGGCTTCTCTCTTTTAGGCTTATTATCATGAGCACGTTCTGCTCATACAGTGTATTCTGTATTTTATGAAACAGAGATACTGATGTTATGTCCTTGTTTGTTTACTTTACAGGACAATTTTATTAGAGATTTCAATCCTTTTTTTTCTCTTTTCTCTTTTCTTGAAATGCCTAAGCAAAAGCTTTCTTTTACTTTACTTGTTATGTGCGTCATTCGATGCGAAATGTGTGACAAATAAATGTAGCTGGCGTAAGACAAAAACCTTGTTGAATAGAAAAGGACGATGATTTCCATCTTTTCAAGCCACAATGCTTCTTTCCTCCCTTTCTCTTTGCCAGTTTTCCTCCTTTATCTGGTTCGCAGGCTGCTATTTTTATACCATTTGGGTTTTTTATGCGCAGTTTTACACGAATGAAAGCCAACTGCGCCCATGAAGGATCAAGTGATGGCCGAAAAACTTTTTTATTTAACTCCTTGTCTTACATGGGCATGAGTCGTGACGTTTTACAAACCAAAAAGTTTATTAACAAAAATGCCTCATAATAAAACAGAAAAAAAAAGTGGCAGATAGGCAGAAGAGTAAAAGGGTTACATAATCACATGCATACACACAGGGTGCTTGTACACTTTTTTTTTATTATAAAGGGGTATATGTACAGTGAAGTAAGAGGTTAAAAGGTAAAATTAGTGTTATTATGGTTACTGTAAATAGAAGCAATATCTTCATCATCTGAGCCGTAACAGGAAGAAGATGCAGAAGATGAAGGATTGATGAGAGGACCAGAATAAGGATCACTTCCCAAGAAAAAGTTACCAGGATGCACCAGGCAGCCTGGGCAAGTACACCGACTACCACAATAGCAGGTAACAATACGCGTCGTAGTAGGATAATATTCTTGTCTTTGCTGCTGCTGGTCTTCTTTGTTTGGGGTAACGAGTGGTGTAATTGTGATCACGACTGATTCTCCACCAGAACTACCGACGGGTTTACGGCAGCTGGAACTAGGAACAAAGCTACCGCAATGGGACCGGTTGATGTTGGGAGTATTCACAGGGGAGTGTTGCTGTTGCTGAGGTTGGACGAGACCAGAAGAAATGTGTGTTGTAGGAGGAAGTGGAGGTAAAGGAGATAGTGGGTTAGGAACGGTAGACAAGATTTGATTTTCTTGAAACATGGAGTCAACTGTGAGGCCATTGTCTTTTTGAAGCACATTGTTTAAAATGGCAGTCAGTTCTTCTGCGTTGGCAAACCCTCCCGCTAAATCTTGTTGCTGTTGCTGCTGCTGTTGTTGTTGGTTCTCATGACTTGACAGGATCTCAAGCTGTTGTGTTAAGTAATCAAATTGTACATCCATTGGCTCTGAGGAAGAAACAGTCGAAGAAGGTGGTGGTGTGGAAAGACCGGTGAGTGTGTCTACATTAATGAGTGTATCATAATTAACGTTCGAGGTCAAGGGTCTTGTAGGAGTAGAGGAAGAGCTTTTTTTGGTCGAGCGACGTCTTCGTACCCTCGGTTGACCGTCTAAAATCCTTGATGTGTTTGAAGGCTTGTGAAAGATGAAACCGAGATGAAGGTTATGATGGTTATTGTTATCATCCTCTGCAAGCTTTGATGTCGAAGCCGAACAAGAGGAAGAGGAGGAGGAAGCGTGGGGAAGGTCTATATGATTGGCGGAGGGAGAGGTAACTAAAGCCCAAGAATAAGAAGGAGTTTCTTCTTTGACTACCAATGGGGTTGTACAGAGTGGCGCTGACATCAAAGATCCTGGTACGACATCAACAGAGTCTTGTGGGACATTAGATGAAAGATAGGCTTGTCCGCCGCCGGAAGATGACCGTATCATGGGAGTACCGTTGTTAAGAGAGGGACAAGTACAATGTTGTTTTGGATGATCTTGGATGATTTCATCATTACTGTGAACTGAGCATGTAGAAGAGGTATTACGATAGATTAAAATAGGCTGCTGTTGCTGTTGATGATCGCCTAAAGTTATAAAAAGTAAATATATACATATATGGTAATTAGCACTTGCTTTTTTTCACGCTTATGTAAATACCTTTCTTCGAATTACATGCGCATTTGATATGAACTTGCTTTGTTTTACGAAGATCTCGACAATAAGTACATTGAGTTACTGGACGACCTTTCTTACGAATTTCAAATAATGGGCGGTCAACGTGATTGCAGTGAGACGAGCGGTGACCCTGTTTGAGAAATGGTTAGAAACTAATCCGAATATAGAACAACCAACATTACCTTGATGCAAGTTGAACAAGCGTATTTAATACCGTTGATATACATTGAATTAGAAAAAAAGAGATAGAGGTATTGTTGAATATATAAATATTGAATTTATATATATAACTAGTGCTTTTTTTTATAATAAAAATAAATATAGGAGAAACTAAGAGAGAGAGAGAATAAAAAAGAAGGAGTATATATATGTTGTATGTATAATAAAGGTTGTATATATGTATATATAGATTGTATACAGCAAAGAGAGAAAATAAATGTATCAAAGTCTACTCCGATAGTTATAATTACACTTTTGCAGACGCAAAGAAATCATGCCAAAGCTGTGTAAAAAAAGGGCAAAAGGGTGTTTTCTAATTGAGCGAAAAAGAAAAAAGAATAAAAAGTTAAAAAAAGGGGGGGCATGAATTCTTTTTATTTATATATAAAATTGATCTACACGCACAAAAAATTTTTTTATATTCTAAGCGGAAAACGTATTTGCATAAGGGGAAGGGGGGACCCTGACCTGTCATCTGCTATTTACTTTATATTGGCCAGAAATTCAAATCAAACAATCAATAGCGATATAAGCGCATTCACCAAGATTCCCTTTACTTTTTGGGATAATTTTTTTTAAAGAACCTTTTAAACTCAGATGTGAACGATTTTCCGAGGCGCTTATGATGAGCACTGGGAAGTACTACTAAAGACTCTATGTAATAAAGAAGATAAGGCTGAAACCGAGTAAGTTTTTTTATCAGATGACATTTCTACAAAAGTAATTGTCTAATGAAACGGAAGATGCCAGGAAGATTATAAACGAAACGCCACAATACAGCTATTTGATGGCTTGCCATACTTAAAGGTATTACATTGAAAAAAAAAAGACTTTTTAATGATATCCTATATGGATATACGTTAAAAGAGAAGGAATACAATAAGCATGCATATAAAAAACTGCTTGTTCCTATCATTATTTAGCACTGAGTTACTGACTTCTTCAGATCAATCACACTATCTGCAAAAAGGAGGCTCAATGCCCACACTATTTCATTCATTTACGTCTATGATTATTATATCAGCGTCTAGCTTTGGAAGACAGCAATATTTAAAAGTAACTAACAATGATGGTAGGTAGTGTGCTATTTGAGGATGATCTTTGGTTATTTGGCATTAGCAGTGTTTCAAGACGATGAATCCTGGTTTTGTGCAGCAACACAAAACTACCCAACAAAAACAGTCACAACCTGAGCTCAAAAATTCTTTACGCAGACTGAAGAAATGTTCATCATACGACGATGACCCATGGGCCAAGACAACCAACAAAGAATTTGTTTGATGGAAAATAATCATCTATACCTCATATACATAAATAGATGGATTCCATATCGTCATTAATACCTTAATATTTGATAAATTATTAGCAATAATCAAGGCTTTACAAAGCAATAGTTATGAAATTGCTAGATATAACAGAAGGTTCCCTACCATAGACGATTTAGAAACTATAATCAGGTTGTTTGGAATGACGGCCAGCAATATTGCGCTTCTGCTCGTTGGACACGCATGTCTATGGTATTCTTTGCTCGCCTTCTTCGATGCCCTTTTCAGGACGCGATTTGAATAAGAATGAGGCATTAAGCATCGTGATGGAAATACACAAGATAAAAGAAAAGAAAGCATAAAATAGATGTAAATACCGACAATAACCTTCTTGTTTGTTATGGATAGGATGAAGTACCTGCGTTCTTCAAAACACATTGTTTGTCTTGGGTCATTAGACTTTGTTGGTTTGTCGTCTAGATTGCATCATATAAAAGGGCTGCTCTGAGAGCATAGTACCACATCTGGAGTCGAAATGGAGGACAACCGTACGATTGCTCACGAGTTGGCTGAATTCTATTTCGGGCTACACATGGAGAACCCTTTGGAAGTGGATACTTTATAAGATTCTTTATGGCTGCATATCCATAATGATGTGTTCTATCCAATGACTAATCTCTATACTTTATCAATGTAACTATCACACTAAATACAAGCATATCTCTTTCCTTTTTTGCATCAAATCATACTTGATCTTTCTAAAGTGATAATATCTTAAGCTCATTCCTTTCACTAACAGCACTAGAGACTTTCTTTTTTCTTTCTGGATTGCCTCTTCTGATAAATCTACCAAGGTTTGTCAACCTTTATCGGCAAAAGAAAAATATATATAAATATATCCCAGCTTATTATACTTCTTTATAACAGAAAAAAAGAAAAGAAACGCCATGCCATATTTGTCCACGCCTTACGACCGTTGTTAAGACAATGTGCTTGAAAAAAGACATTTCTCCAATCATTTCAAGTTCCTGAGAGAACAAAAAAATTTAAAACTTCCGCCGGAGATAACCTCCGTAGTTTACTTGTTTTATTCCAGAATGGTCAACACTGTGCTAATTCACTCATTACAATACCTGACCGACAATATGTATAACATAATAGAGTGGATATTATTGCTTACCATAAGCTCACTACTATTATTTATACCAGCTTATACTCTGCTATTAAATGACAAGTCAACAATTCTAAAAGCATGCTCATCCATTAGGTCGATCAACCTTAAACACAATAAAGCAGCAACCACACAGCATAATACTATTACTAATAATTACTATTCTCAACTTCAGTATCCCGTTAATCACCCTATTCATCAAAAACTAATATTAAATAATGACATATGCCTATCACCTGTCAATGATCATTCACTGGTATCTGGGTTAGTTAATACGGGCAATTCATGCTTTTTGAATTCAGTATTACAGGTACATATATATATACATATACATATAATATCTGACAACAAATGATCATCCTTTATCGTCCTTAGTCACTCTCTTCTTTACCAAAGCTTCAGCACTACTTGCACCAAATTGATCAGTTATCATCACCTCCATCACCTATCACAAGATCACTCTTGACAACCCTACGCTTACTCTCTAAACCTGCTTCTAACACATCCTTTCGCCCCTTCGATGTCGTTTCGATCATGCCCAACTGTCTACTCAATAAAGAGCAACAGGATGCTCATGAACTCTTTCAGTTTATTTCAACAGCGTTGGATAATGAAAGTCAATTAATGCATCGCCAGCCTGGACTGCTTTCATTGTTATCATCTACCAATACTAAACTCATGGAAAGTCCTTTTACTGGTTTATTGGCCAATAGATTATCTTGTGTGCAGTGTGGTTATACAGTAACTGTCCTATCTTGTCTAGTATAAAATGTGTTGCTGATATTTCTTTGTTTTTAATAGGAAGCTATTCGTCACTGTCCCTTCAACAATATACAACTAACACTGCCTAACCATGTATGCTTATATATATAAAAAAGAATCTGTTCAACTATGCACTAATATACATATTCCTAGGAAAAAACAACTCTAGACGAATGTCTGCAACAACTCACATCCATGGAATACCTAAACGATGTTATATGCCTCAAGTGCACCATGTTCGAAAACATTCGCTCTCTGGATGCTAAACTGGAACAGCACCCTTCAAACCCTGACTTATTGACCAAGAAACAGGAACTAGAGCTCAAACTCGAACAAGGCTTTATTGAACCCACCGAAAAAACAGTATTTTCTAGAGGCTTATCAAGCAAGCAAGCCATGTTTGCCAAGCCCCCCAAGATTCTTTGTCTTCACATGGCAAGATCTGCTCTCGATATGACAACGGGCGATATCTATAAAAATACCTGCCGTGTCGAGTTTCCCGACATGCTTGACCTAAGTCCGTACTGCACAAACGGCATTCTTAATACCACCAATCCTCACTTACCGATTTCATCAGTCAATCATACGACAGTGCCTGTGCGATATCGATTGATGAGCGTCATTGTCCATTTTGGTTCACACGATTCGGGACACTATATCTCCTTCAAGCGACGACTTGTAGCAGAAAAATGCCACTGTCTCAGCTGCCGTGACGATCAAACCTTACTCAAGCATCACAGCTCAGATTGGTTTAGAATATCAGATGAACGTGTAGAGGCCTGTACACTGGAGGACGTGCTGCTGGCAAACCCGTATATGTTACTATATGAATTGGTAGAAGATGATGTGTGTAATTTGAATCAAGAAATCGAAGAAGAGGAAGAAGAGCTTTGGCCCAGTCAACCTGTGGCTCCTCCCTCTTCACCTTTACTTGCTCCGCTTCAAACATCATGCGCTCCCCATAAGTCACTTACATCTTCAAAACGCAGATCAGCGCTTTGGACAAAAACACCTGTCATCATATGTTAATTCATGGTAAAACTTGTACTCCATCTTACACCTACGTTTGTACATAGCCTTTAGGAGGATCATAACAAATAAATACAATACTCTAAACCACTGTATACCAGTTAATATAAAAAAAGAAACATCTCTTTGGTTGACCATACTACTACTACTATTACTACTACTAAAACATGTACACCATGGAGTCCTGAGTGAAATTAAGTGAATTCAGGGCTTATCTGCCTACTTATTTTCTTGTTTCTTTTTATAATCCTTGAGCTGAGTGTTCCCATATCATTAAACTTACTTTGCTTGACCTTGTACTTAAAAATAAATGAGCTAGTTAAATTTATAGTGGCGTTGAAAAGTTTAGAATCATAGTAATTCCAAAGAGAACAAAAACCGAGTTGTTTAGTAGCTTCAAATAAAGGAAAAGTGATTCCTTACTCGTGTTCAAATTCCGAGCATAGTTTGTTTGGTTTGCTTCGTTGATGAGGGATTCAAAAGTGTCCATGGTAAGGCAGCATAAAAAACTCACACTCGCTTTATGCAGGAAGCTCGAAAAAATAAAAAGCTGTATATTACATTATAAAGAACTCAATTTATATATATTTTAATTATATATATTCTACACTATTTATGTATACTTATTTGAAGCTGATTTATTCGTTACATCATGAAGTTACCATCATTATATTTACGATGACATATGACCAAATATATTTACATTGACCAAAAGTGTTTAAATAAAGTGACCAATTTGTTTTCAAAAAAGTGAACAATCAAACTTCTAAAGTCCGACGGTTATCTTCCAAATAGCAGACTGACCTGTTTTGATTTCTCTCTTTTACATTTACTTATTAAATATGCCTGAAGGTTTCCAAGTTGATGTATCAAAAGCTGTTGGACATAAATACAAGCCTGAAATTGTAAATAATCAAATATATTAAACACTGTCTTAATCTTCTTTTGTTTGTTCAGGTAGCTTGCACTCGTCGTGACTACATACTTTATGCATTATCCGTAGGCGTACATGAAGACGAGTTACGGTGGTTGTATGAGCTTGGTAAGGCCAACCAGATAAACGAATAAAGAGAGTGACATTTAGATCTATAGACGATAACTTTGGCCCTTTACCTACTTATCCTCTCTGTCTCCTACTCAAAAACGATCACTGGGACGTCAACTCATTTATGGAAAGATGGACAGCAGGAGGTCCACTCCCAGGGATGCCTCCATTTGATTTTAACAAAATCGTCCACGGTGAACAGTCTTTTGAGGTCATTGCACCTTTTCCTGTAGAAGGTGGTCGATTTAAAACGATAAAAACTTGTGTGGGCGTTTACGACAAAGGATCAGGTATGGTCATTGATTCTGTAGTTGATCTGTATGGTGAAAAGGATGGTATGCATTACTGTCGTATGGGTGCAAAGATGTTTGTTCGTGGTTATGGTGGATGGAATGTAAGCGTCTTAATAGGGAGCATAACACAGCAGACTGATGCCCTCTATTCCTTCTTTTTTTTTCTTGGCTAAAGGGGCCAAAAGGACCAACGCCTATTATATATAGCCCTCCTAAAGGTTGTGCTCCAGATGTGATAGATACATTTGTAACTCAAAAAAACCAAGCATTATTGTATCGTTTGTCAGGGTATGTATCAAAGACTCATCAAGAGATCAACCTTGACCCAACGATTTACTATAGAGACTTCAATCCACTTCACGCCGATGTCAAACTAGCCCCAATGGTTGGCTTTCCTCGACCAATCTTACATGGTCTCTGCTCGTACGGCAAATGCGCTCACGCAATCACAAAGTACTTTGCTGATAATGACCGTACTCGTTTCAAGTCAATCGAAGCTAGGTTTGCTCAACCTGTATTTCCTGGGGAAACAGTCGAGATTCATATGTGGAAGACAGAATCCCATGATACAAACTTGATTGCGGTTGTATTTCAAGCAAGAGTCAAGGAAAGAGATGCTATTGTACTCACAAATGGATATGCAACACTTTACAAGAACAGAAATAAATCAAAGTTGTAATAAAGGCCTTTTTTCATCAAAGCCTTTGAGATATCAGACTGAACCAACCAAGTGTTTGTATTGATTGTCAACCTGGATTGAGATATCGCATAATAAAAGTGATTTCTCTTTTTTGAAAGATGATTTTCGCCCATAATGATACTGTACTGTTTTATTAAAAATAAATTTCAGAAAGAGGATAAAATTATGACGTGTATGAAAAAAATAATTGGCGCATATTAAAAAAAGTATTTACGCAAAGGTTAAAAATAAAATGCGTGCAAAAGGAGACGACATACAAATGAGAGTAATAAGTACCAAGGAGGGAATATAAAGAATTATACAGTTAGCTATGTAAGAAAATTATTATATATAATAACTTACCCCGAAGGCATCTAGATGTGTCCTAGCGATAACTAGGACGGAGAATCATCGTCTAAGCGTATTCTAGTTCTTGGTTGCTCCTGATCATCCACTCTTCTTCGACGTCTTGTAGGAGCAACAGCAACCCGACGAAACCTATGAGGAACCATACCATTATGTCGAAGCCCACGAAGGATGTGCATGTAGTTGAGACAAGCAGCAACATCCCTGTTCCAAAAGCGATACCTATCTGGAGCTGCCATGGCGGGTCTACAGTATAGATTGGTGCATCTACAAGCAATGCTTAATCAGTATAAAGCCATACAAGTGGTTCACGTATTATTACCTTAAAAGGCCATGGCAGACAACTGTAGGATATCGCTCACGTTGATACGGTCGTGGATTTGGAACACGACGGAACGTGTGGAGGCTCTCGTTGTGGCATGTTGGACAGCACCTACTGGTCTTGTACTCGTCTATAAGATAGACTTGTAACCCATGTTTCTTGAGGAGTCTTCGGAAACCAAGGCCATGGATGGGCTCATGATACCTAG